AAAATGTGGCAGGGAATGTTATGTTCCCTGTAAGGGTGAAAGGGCTAAGTGTAGCCTGTATGCTAAATAAATGAGCACTGACCAAAGGACAATGTGAGTCTGTTAAAGACTTTGGTGGTGGTGTGCTTCTGTGAGAACACATGGTAGGGCTTTAAAGTATTCAAAGCAGCTAATTGGGCACTGGGAATGTGGATATTAAAGTCCAACCGTGGCAGGGCTATTTCTTGATCAGATGAGAAGGGAATGGTAAACCACAGGAGCTATATGGACTTTTGGTTTGTGTACTCCTAATTTGCACTTTTGATTATTTTGTTTGCTGTGGAAGGTGAAGTATGGTGGGGCTGCTGAGGTAAGTTGTATGCTCAGCGGGTGTGTCTGTCAAGAGCCCGTGGAGGTTGCTGTTTCTTTCACGGTGGAAGGAATTTTGCTTCATAAGGGCAATACAGGAAAAAGGAGACCTTCCTGGTAGTACCAAGGGCAGAAATGCAGCTCCCTCTGTCTCTTCCAGTAACAAGAGTTCAGCTGCTGAGCTTGTGTCTGGACTGTTGTTCCATGGGCCTTGCCTCCTCATGCTAAACAGTTAAGTATACTGTGAGGCTGTGCCGCATTAAACTTTCATAGAAGTGTTTGATTTAAACCTGTTCGATTTAAACTTTTCTGAAAGAGTGCTGAAAAATAAACTTAGGTTTATGAATAAATGTGACCTTATTACAAGAAAAAATCTGAAGTGTATTTTAGGAGGTTAAAGAAAAGGGTTACCTTGTGAAATCCTCATCCTCATCACCAAACTGTTCAAAGTTTTAGAGTATATGCTCATCTGTTGAAACAAATTGTTCTCAATCTTGCCTACAGGTTAAAGACTTTAAATGAACAAACTTAACACTCCCTATAAACCACCTCCTCCCATGCCTATGGCAACAATTGTTTGCTTGCTGTTCCCCTAAGCAGTGCTTAAATTTCACATCTGTATTACCTGTGATGCTTGCTATATTAATGATCTGTTTTTCAAATACTTTTAAGCTGTATGGAGGAACTTACACTGTAATTCTTGTGCACTTTGGGTTTAAAAAAAGAACAATAAAACACTGAATGCTTATTTTGTAGTACTTTGAATGTATTTGGGGAGGCAAAGTTGCATACCTGATAGAGTACCAAAAGCACACTAGAACTCAGAGGACTTGGTTACTCTTCCTGTTGCTGCAGCTAGTCAAGGCTCCCACGTTTTCCTCAGGGAGGATAAAGTGCGTAAGGTACCTAGAAAATGCGACAGTGATTTCTTGATATAATGATGCCTACGTGTAAAGGGAAATATGTCAGTGGGTGTTACATCTTGCTCAGAAGTAGAATTCCCATCTCCCCACCTCTTAAATAGAGAAAGTGATTATGATCTCCTTTGTAAAGTTATCTGAGATCTACTCATTTTAAAAGCTCTTTTAATAGCTTCTGAGTGTGTCATCTATCACTCAACTTATTTTTGAGTTCTTCTCAAGGTGTAGGCTTAATATGGAAGATGAGAATGTAGTTAATATGTAGGATATGCAATATGGTACTGCATATATACTTTATATAACACATAGTGTAACCCTCTTTTTCTTAGCTAATACGGTTTCTTTATATAACACACAGTGTAACCCTGTTTTTATTGGCTAATGTAGTTTCTTCCTATTGAAGGTACTGATGCAGGGAATAATCTGTTAGTAATGTTATCTGACAAATCTATTTTATAAGGTTGTGCATAAGCCCCCAGTCCCTGCCAGCCGAATGGAATTTCCTTGTTCTGTGTGCCACACAAGATAACTCTCTCAGTGAAGGAGGTATCCTAGATACTTCATGACTGATGTAACAGTTATGATTTATAATGTCTTGCTAAAGTTAGCATGAAATGTCACAGCACAGGTATGCTCAGTTAAAGATCAAATGCATATGAAGGTTGAGAGTAAGAAGAGAGAGAGAAGACTTAACAATGAAAATGGCACATTCAATTTTTTCTTGCTTCTTTTCTAGGTAAGAAAATTACTATCAAAAATATACCAAACTGAGTGAATGGAAGGTGTACTATAGTAGCTGTTGTTTCATTATTTAAGTATATAAGCTGTTATTAGGTACCTATATTAAACTTATGTAAAATCTAAAAAAAAAAAATCATTTTTGAATTGACAGGTCTCAGTCACGTACAAATAAAGCTGTGCTGTAACTGATAGGTGGTGTAACTGTATATTATCCTGGGTAGATACATCTTTAGTACATTACTCTTTGCATATATGTGTTCTGAGAAAAAACAGTTGTCCTCTAAAGAGGATAAAGAATGATTTAACTTTTATTTTTGACTGGCTGATGCTCTCTCAGCCTTGTGGTTAGCACAGAACTGACTCACAGAAAATTCTGCAGACTTATAGGCTGTAGTAGGAATGCCATCCAGATGAAGGTCTAAAAAGAGAAACTCTGGATCGAGTTTCTAAATATCACATTTCTGCTCTGTTGCCAATTTTATCTATTCAGAGGTGTTACAGTAGTTACTAGATGATTGTCTGTTTGACAAGGTCAGATGAAGGATGCTAATGGCTAAAATGTAAAGACACAGTGCTTGTTGTTCATTGAAAGAACAAGAACTGAGTTGCAGTTGTAAACTGGCCAAGTTATTATGTACCTTGAGAGAGAGATGAAAATGTATACGTGAACTTACATATAGTCTGTTTGAATTGAACCTTCTTGGTTGAAAAAACCACTGATGATTAGAAATTATTATTTATAAAATAAAATTTAATTTTCTACTTAAAACCAGCTGAATTTCTCTAGGTATCCTTGAGTATTGGTTAACTGGAAAACTTTGCATTACCTGAGAGAATAAAACTAACATCTGTGTACTTTTTGGGCTCTCATTGTTGAAGTAAGGCGTTAGATTGCAATGGATATTTGATGGATTATATGAGATAAGCAATTAGCCTTTGAAGTAGGGCCGGTTTAGGTTTTTTGGTTTTGTGGGTTTTTTGTTTGTTTGTTTGATTTTGTTTTTTTTTTTAAAAAACAATTAAACAAGACCCCCCTCATCAAGAAACACCAACTCACTACTAAACTTTCAGTTTTTAAAACCAAAACCCCCATAGTTATAGAATCTAAGTTCTAGAAAGCTTCAGAAACTTAAACGCTCTCTGTGAAATACATTAGGAAAAGTGTTCACCCCTCATTTGACCTGGAATATATTTGAATATGTTGGTGACTTTTGTTATAGTTTTTCTGCTGTCATCCAGTGATGCCAGAAGGAAAGAAAAGGCATTTGAAGTGTTCTAGCGTGGAAAACCCCGTAACTTTTACAAGCGTACTGAGGGAAGCCGGGAAGGCAGAAGGAGACCCTGCATTTCCAGCGAAGCACTGGGGGGTTCGGCAGGCTGCGGGCACAGGTCTGTGCCTGGGTTTTGGGGCAGCTGGGCTGGCCCGCTGCTCCCCGGGGACTGTTGCTAGAGCGGTTGCAAAGATGAAGGACACTAAGCGACATCCTGCAGCTGTTTGTCTCAAATGCTAGGCTGGCTTCCCACTGTGTACTTCTTTTCATGTGTTAGCACTGCTTTTTCCATTTCCTAGTTTGGAGCTGGTGTGGGCAGTGGCTGCAAGGGGGTTCAAGGTGCGCTCTGAAGGAAAATAATGTCCAGCAGATATGGGCAGGGGGTAGAAAAGTATCTACTTTTATCTCTTGTCCTGTCAGAGCCATGTGCATCCTGCTGGCAGCAGAGCCTTTGTCTGATGCTTTGCAGCCGTGGCTTTGCCACCTGTGCTGGAGGGCCAAATGGGGTGGCAAGTCGTCTTCTCTTCCCCTGCTTCCATTGCATGTGAAAGATGGTCTTTAGGGGTGCTCTTTGCCTTAGTGAAGTAGATTTTAGGGATTCTCCAAGTTTCTCTTGGAGCACAGAGTTTCTCTATTTTGGCTGCTGCCCTGTCCTCTCCCAGTGCTGCCCAGGAGGGCGGCTGTGCGGCGCCTCCCGCAGCCCTCACTCCTCTCCGGCTACAGCTTGGAAGGGAGTTGGGCAGGTGTAGTTACTCTAGCTGTGGGGAGGAGCATTGGGTTTGTTTTTTATTTTTTTTGGCTAGGCTGTTCAGTACAGCCTGTACTCAAAGAGCAGAAAGCCCAAAGCCTGCCCGGGGCTGGCCAAATTCCTCCATGCAGCACTGTGGTGGGCAAAAGCATCGTCTCTGTCCCCAAGCAGTACAGCTGGGTTCGTTTCATCCTGCCTACGCCCAGGACAATAGACCTCCCTGTTAAAGAACCACTGGTATAAGTGTAGGGATAAAAAGGAGTGCCTAACACTCAGTGCTGAAGGGAAATCCCTCAGAAAGGCTGATTTATGAAGAAAAAATTTGCCCTTTTACTTAGGTCTTGCTTTTACTAAGCTGAAACAGAGATGACCCCCACTTACGCTGGAGGAAAGGTGGGAAACTAAGCAAGCTTGTTGGAGAGAACGTGCTCTTGAGCTAATGGTGGAACACGTGGAGCAATAAAAAACATGTCATGCTCTCTCCTGTCATTTCTGTTTTGATGAGCTCCCTTTTTTCCCATGAAACTGCTTTCAAGCAGTTACATTTTGAAGCAGTCCCTAGTGATATTTGAATCCCATGGAATTTGAGGTGGGTGAACGATGGCGGTGGCTCTTTGGTTTGCTCACTCTAACCCCTGGAACAAGCTGTTCTGCTCTAGCTCTAGCTCAAGATGCCTGTGTCAGAGTTGGTGTGCTGGGACAGGCCAGAGAGGCTGCTCACACAGATATGCCTCTCTCCTTTGCTCCCTGCCAGCTCTTATCTGCAGAGTTTGAGCTATTGATGCTTCCTGTCATGTGCGTGGATGGGGACTATCACCTCTCCTGGGGCAGCTGGAGAAGGAGAGTTATCATCATTTCAGCTATCGATCTGTCAAAGAGGCCAGAACTATGCTCTTCCTTTTATTTTCCTATCAAGCTCACCAAACCTAATATACTATTAAACTTAAAGATAATGTGTTTGCTGTCCTCCTGCACAGATCATGTTTTGCACTTTGAACACTCATAAAGCTGATATGGACAAGCTCTTAGGTGCACAAATTGGCCTTGAAGATTTCATATTTGCCCACATAAAAGGACAACGAAAAGAAGTGGAAGTTCTTAAAACTGATGATGTGCTTGGGCTTACCGTTACAGACAATGGAACTGGCTGTGCATTTATAAAGGTAAATTTGATTACTGGTGAAATACTTTGTTCTTCAGAAGTTCCTGTTACTATAACAGTTTAATTATTGTTTTAATGATCCTGTAGAACTATAGAATCTTTTATTATCATATATATGGTAAGTAAAAAATAAAGTTGCTTTTCTTTAGGTACATCATTCAAAATTAGTTCAGCTATTTCTGTACTGCATGTCATTCAAAATTAGTTCATTTGTTCATTGCTTCTGTAATGTGTATCAGTTTTACAATGTGACCATTGTATTTTCCGACCTACCCTGAAGTCGTAGGTGTTAGATACTGCTTGCATCTGCCCCCTCCTTTCTTAAGTGATTTTCTAATGTCATTGATTAGGTGCTTATAGAACGTCTGTCACTCATGTGATAATGAGATCATGTTCTTTCAGTTTTTATGCCCCTTCACAAGGGCAGAAGCCTTTGTGCTGTATAAGAATAGGTGCAAGTACAGTGCTTTTCCAGCTTTCCAATATTGTTGCCTTAGATAGGTAGGATGAATTAAAAGGTGCTAAGGATATGGATTAACACAATTTACCACAATTAACTTGAGTAGCAACTATGGGCAGTAACATGTACAATATATTAATCATAACTGCTTTCCTCCTCCTCCTCTGTATGACCTCCAGATGTTTTGAGACAAATAGAGGCTGATGAAATGATGCTACCCTCCTTGCTAGACTAGGTATTTGGAACCTTAATCACATTTTCTGCCTTTTTTAGATGCTTTGCTCTAATTTAATCCAATTATCCATTGTTAGTGAGGCATTGGCAATTATCTTCGATTACTGCTGTCCCCATCACTGTTCTTACTGCTATTGTAAACAGAGCTTCTTGTATGGAGAGGTTGTAGTCTCTATTCGTTCTGTAGCTACCATGGATGTAAAACAAGGTGTGGTTTAGAAATAGGCTTGCTTGCCTTCGTTGTGGAAAAATGTGATTGAGATCATGCTTGAGAAAGTCGAGATGCAGTGGAGGTTTCAGTAAGCAGCTTAGCAAAATCATAGCCTCATTTTTATGTTTATAGACACAGAACTCTGAATTTCTAGTGGTAGCATCTGTGCAGTCCATAACATTCAGTCACGCTGCTGCTTACATGGTATTTTAAAAGAAGGCATTGAAAGCAGTGCTTCAGCAATTAAAGTTCATGTGTGCAGCACTGTACAGAGCATTACTCTCTCTGTGCTTGGTTGGTAATACGGGGAAAGAGAACAGCCATCACATAGACTACTGCATAATTGGAGCAGACTGGAAAATCCTCGCCACATTAGCAAAACAAGCTGTAATTTCCAGTAAATTGTATAAAACTTGTCTGAACAAATATATCACTGTCCTTGTACTGGTCTAATAAGCAGTATAATGAATATGGTGCAGTCTTTGTGGGAATGCATCAGTTTAAAGGAGTTTCTAGGAGCTTACTTTGTTGCTGTTGCATATTTAGTTAATGGATTTTTTAAAACAGCATAGAAAATACATAAACAAAAGTAAAAGCTGCATCTTTTTTATACTTGGTTGTCTAGGTAAATGACTAAGCAGAGACTTAGTCTTAAAGTCTCTACTTTAAAGTTTGATAGAATTCTTTTTGTTTCTATAATTACTTTCCTTGAAAAATTGTTACTATGTTCTATTAACAATTAACGATTAATATTTACTTATCTGTGGGTTGTTGAAAGCTGTTATGGGCTGTAGTAATTGGTGTTAGAATCCAAGTGAAGAAGAAAAGCTGAATGAGAATGAATTCACTACGTAGACAAAACACTGGCTGAAGTCTGGTGGGCACACTTTTGAATCCTGGCACCTGGTAACAGAAATGCATTTGGGACCTGGTTTCTGGTGTGTGTACGATACCCCCCTCTTCACTCACCATGAGGCTTCTTTTTGGTTTTAATCTAGGTTAAAGAAGAAAGTGCTAGAAGGAGTTAAACTCAGCCTGAAGCTAAAAATTGTTGCAGTGTATTATAGGACACTGAGCACAATCACACTTCCCACTGACTCTCTCAAATGGAGGCACGTATGTGGGCTCAGACATGCGCACATAAACTAGAAGCAGTTTTCTGAGATAGTTATGCAGCTAGGCTAGGTGTTATAGTAGTAGGTGGTAATATGTTTATCTCCCTTTTCTCAGTATTATCTCACTCAAAGTTAGCTTGAACAACATCAGTCTTAATTGAAAAGTACATTATTCAGGAAGATATTAGAATGAAATTCATATCTCTACAAAATATAAGATATTCTACTATGTTATAGCTTTTCTTTTAAATAGCCGTAGGATAATGGCTTCCACGACTTAGGCACGTGATAAACAAATATGACAGCACATAACAACAATAAACAGAATCACTAAAATTTTAAGTGTCCTTTAATTGACTTGATATATCATAGAGATCTTTTAAAGATTGTTTTTTTACCTCACTTTTTAAATTCCACTTCACAAAAACTATAATTACTAACTTCTGTTACATTTTGTGACCATTTTTATTTGTATTCCATGAGAATTTCTTATTCTTTGTTGTTATTTCAGAGGAAATACTTTAATATGCAGCTATATAGTTTGATGTGGAAAATGGTAGAAGTTCTATCACTATAGATAGGTCTTATTAAGACTAGCTCTTTATAGTATGTCATTTTTTAGTATATCACACACATTTTTTTATGTCCCTGGACTATACTTGAGAAGAGAAAAGTTCTGTTCCTATGCTTGTCAAGCTATTAAATCAAAATAAAAGCCCAAAACTCAATTAAACATTCACATTACTGACACGTTCAGTTTTAAAGCACAAAAATATTAGCTTATTCAGAAGCCTTAATTTCTAAAGTATGACTGCATTCTTTTTTTTTCCCCTGTTGATTTTACGTCCAATGCTTATTAAAATACTTTGTTTGCAAAATAATGCTTTCCAAAATATGTTTTATGAAAATCTTATAGACAAAATGCACTGCTGGTATAATAAGCTCAATGCTATTGATGTTGTTAACTGATATTCTTGAAACTCTGTGGTGTCACCTCTTTACCTTTTAAAGAAATGCTTCTAATTCTTTTTTTTTTTGTTTTTGTTTTTTAAACAATAGCGAATCAAAGAAGGTAGCCTGATGGACCAAACCAAAATGATCTGCGTGGGTGATCACATAGAGACTATAAATGGAAAAAATGTGTCAGACTGTCGGCATTATGAAGTTGCCAAAATGCTAAAAGATCTGGAGAAAGGTCAGATGTTTAAGCTGGAGTTGATAGAGCCTATGAAAGCATTTGGTGAGTGACCTGACTTCCCACCTTGTTCACTGGATATTGAAATCCCAACATTGGATTGCATTGTAAGTTTGTTTTCAGATTGCAGCCAGGTGTCCACCCAAGGTAACATAACTGCTACAAGAAAGTACGTTTGTTTTTTTTCCTTTGAAGTGGGAAATTTATGAATGGATTTTCTTCTATCTTGCTTTCTCCAGCAGTTATCCTGGTGTGGGGTGCCTCAGCCTGAGTCTCGGTTAAAGCATGGATCACTTCACTAATGCGCTGATCCTTGAACCTCCTCTTCTGTTTTCCTCTATTGATACATAATCCCTGTTCATCTGTGGGTCAGGTTTTTCTATTTCTGTACCCTTTACTGGGGACTGCACTCTCTAATGCAGAAGGATGCTGCAGAAAACACTGTCTAGGATTTCCTAGAGCACCTCCTTCGCTGCATGCCTGCCTGTTCTCCCCAGCTTTTTTGGGGCATCTCTAATCATACAGCAGGTATACTCAGAATTGGAAGAAAGCAGTATGGCAAAGCTGTGTCTCTACCTACCACCTGCATGCTATGAGAAAGTGATACTTGTATAGGAGGAATGCCTACCTGCTGCTAAGCCTTATGTATATTAATTTTATCAATGTGCTAAACAAACAAACAAAAAAAGTGGGTTTAGCTCAGGAAGTCAAAGTAGAGATTGAGTTTTAATTTTTATTCTCTCAATTTTTTATATACAGCCCCCCTCCCCAACCATGTGGCATTTTTCTGTAGTAAAAACTTCAAAATACTGCTAAATTATAAGTGTGTATGAGTCCTTGTGCACATCTGCACTAACAGCAAGTTCAAAACCACCATCTTCACCCCAGCAGCAAAAGTCCGAAGTGTTTATTTTTCAAATCTTTTTTTATCTGTTACTAGTTTACAACTGCTGTCATACACCAGTCTTGACACTTGGTGTCAGAATAGCAGCAGAAATTGAAAATGAGAGAAATTTGAAGATTTCTTTTTGCTTTTAGTGCTTTTATGAAGAATGAGGTTTATCAGTTAATCTCTAATGCGTTTGGATATAAATTGATACTCCTGTTAAGTAAATGTGTATGTTACACATTACGCTAAAGTAGTATTACATATTATAGTGTTGCAATTAGTAATATAGGAATACCTTTTTAATATGGGTCTATAATTTGTATTCAATGCTAAATGTGTTACATAGTCTATTTGTAAAGACCAGAATAAATCAGCATTTGATTGATGACTTCAGCCGTTAATTTAGTGGTAATTGCTTTAGTCAGGTGATTAAGATACCTTTTAGTCTGTCTGTGGTGTAGAGAAGGAAACCTGCTAATTCCATGGCAATACCTTCTATCTGACATTGAATTAAGAGAAATTAATTTACAAGTTGCAGTGCCCAATATGTTAGACTATCCTGCCTCTGGCCTTACGTGCAGTTAGGCTTTAGGCACAAATTTATTTGAGATATTGTTTAAGCTGCAGCATGCTGAGAATAGCCCCAGAAAAGACAACAAACAAGATCCAGATCCTGCTGAACAATACGTGCTGAATTTCTCTTAGTTTCAACACAAGTTTGTGAGGGTATAGAAATAAGAGACAAGCCTCTGTGTGAAATGACTAACTTTTACTTTTCTTCCTCTCAGCAGAATGTGAAATAAGTATTATTTACTGGTTGGATATCTTTCTACCATGTGCACACAGGCTGCCTCAGCTACTCTAGGCAAGGCTTGTAGCACAGAATTAAAGACTTGTCTGAATAAGATTGGTCCTTACCAGTCACAACCTGGCCCTCTATGAACTGGTGAAAAATTAATAGAAACAAAGTAAAGGCAGCATAATACAAACTCTACATTTAAATTACGTGAATATGAAAAATAGTTTCTGTGATGGCCAGAGCGCTTTGGTCTGAAGTATTGCAAATAAAGGTTATGTCAAGTCATGAGTTTTAAGGTGCTAACGGTGACAGAACTAGAAAAAGATGTATGTTGTATCAGGCATGACTTTTTGAAACAAGTCTAGCGGAAGTGATGACAATCTTAAGGATGTTTTAAACTGTTCTTGAAGCAATAAAAGGATTAAGGAAAAATGTTGATCCTAAGTATATATGTAAGAGACTGGGCCATATCTGTTTGTTAAAATAAAAAAAATTAAAATTTACTTTTCAAGACTTGTTCGGCAGAATAATCTGGATTTTTGACTACTTATGCACGAATGATGAGTTGGAATCTACCTGGGCAAAATGAATGTAGCATGTAAAAGTCTTGCCTTCAAGGAGAGCTTATTAGAAAGGCCTGCTGTTAAGAGGAGGAATAATGTGGTAGAGAAAACAGCACAGTTAAAAACAGTTCTGCAAAATTATCTCCTCTCTTCTAGCACTTTCCAGATTAGCTATGTAACTCCCATGTCAGTAAATTAATTAAAGCCTTGCCACTCTTGAATGTAAAATTATGTCCCAGAACAAGAAAGCTAAATCTTAAATGATTCCATACTCCATTTACTAACTGGGGTGCCGTTACCCAAGATTAAAGAAGGAAAGCTGAATTCAGGTTAAGAAAATTTTGGGTAAACCTGGATATTCTTGGTAGAGATTTATCAGGTATGAAATCATAACCTTGGTGAAACCAGTGGAAAAACTCCTGCAGATCTACTTATGGACATTTCACCTATGTGACTGCTAGTAATCAAATTGTTAGCTCAGCTCCATGTGGCTCATCATGACCTGTTGAGCAGTGGTGTTTGCACCATTGCATCAGTGAAAGATGGAAATGTTGCAATGCTAAACCTGCTACGTAGTCTGCCTGTAAAGACCAGGATAAATCAGCATTTGGCTGATGACTTCAGCCATTATCTAATATTAAGTAATAAATCCTTCTACTTTTCTGTAGAATAGGGAAATAAAATTATACAAAGTGCATATATGAAACTGAGTGCAATAGGCCTGCATAGATATATTGGTTAATGGAAATGCTAGCTTCAGTCAAGCAGATATCAAAGTTTGAAGACAAGAAATTGTCAGCAAAGCTGTACTTACGATACAGTTAATTTATAATTAATTTTTTACATACGTCTAGATCTTGATTAGAATAAAAAGTGAAGGTAATGTAATAGCCAAAGCAGATACATCATATTCTGACATACCATATACTTAGTTTTGTTTGGTTTTTTTTGTTGTTGTTGTTGTTTGTTTTGTCTTTAGAAAAGCTGGAACCAAGGTCCAAAGGTGGAACTCTGCCAGAGGCTAAAATCTCCAGAGGGAGAGAAACACTTCGGCTGAGAACCAAAGGCCCTGCTACTGTGGAGGAAATGGTATGGTTATCTTGGGGCCCTTCAATAGTTTAATCATCTAGCACCTGATTTATTCTTCCCCAAGGTTCATAAGGTAGAGTAGGAAGGAAAAATCTGGATGTTATGGGACTTAAGAAGACGACTGCCTTCTGCAGGGGAAAAATGCTTATATAAAGTTGAAGTCTAGCAGGGATAGGATGGGCCTGAGAAATCTGGAAACAGAGAGCCTGTATTTAGATGTCATGGATTATATTGATGAATTTAAGGTAGATTAGACCAAGGAGTGTTGAAAAGAGGGAAGGGGGAAAGAAAAGGGGAGGACAGTTGAAGAGTAGGTTCTGTTGCTGACATTGCAAAGTCCACCGGGCTGGTGTAAGGGCTGTTGTTAGGAGAGGCTAGTAATGTATGCTGACATGAATATGTGTAAAATCAGGATTAGGGTTTGGAAGAAGAAATGTTATTTATTCTGGGTTCCTCTAAAGCCGATGAGGATTTGATGAAGATCTGTATTGTTAGGAGATGTAAGCCCTTGTTTAGTTTGAATGTGAGAGCTGTGTGGCTTGATGTTAGGAGGAAGGCTCAGGTTTGTGAGAAGAGGGAAAGAGAGTAGAATAACATGTTTTACTTGTAGGTTTTGTAAGTCTAGGTGGCTAGGATGGGAGTAAGGATAATCGGTGGCAAATTGCTGGTTATTTTGAAATCTGCATGGATATAATCATACTGCTATTTTTCTCCCTTCATTTCAACAAAGCCAACTGAAGTTGAAGAAAAAGCAATTAAAAAAGTGGATGAGCTTCTTGAAACATACATGGGGATAAGAGATATTGAATTAGGTGAGTTTTTAACAGATACATTACTACAAGATTAAACCATTTCTCATTTTCTGTAGTCTAAAATTTATTGAGTACTTAGTCTCTGGGTGTAAGCGAAGCAAAATTTGTCCAGCATGCAGTCTCAAAAACTTGCCTCTATTTCTGCAAATGTGCATCTCTGATAAAAAAAAAGAATCTCTCACTACAAGCCTTATGATGTGATTAATTAATCCTCTATTCTTCCTGCACATTATCTATACACTCTTGCATGAATTATTTAGTTGTTTGCCATTAACTGTCATCACTGTATTCGTTCTGGCGTATATTTTCTAGTGGAGCTTGTGTGTACCACATTTAAGGATTGTTAAGGATAAGCCTATCTATTTGCTTTTTTGCTCTTTTGCCCCTTGGCTTAGAGACATCAAAGTTGATTACTAAAGTTTGAATCTGAGATCTTCATCAGTGAAAGGGCAACTATTTAGCAAGGGAACTGACAGAGTAATTGCACAAATTTATCAAATTCTCTAAAGCTGGTGTTCTGAAGAACATGGGAAATTTTCCAGAATATTTACTAGCTACGACAATCATCAATTTATAATGAAAGAAACTATTCAACCCCAGTGTCATAAGTTCCTTAAAACTGCTCCAAACTTGTCCTTGCAGCTGTTGCTTCTCTCTGTTAATCTGACAACAACTAAATAGGAACTTCTGTTTGTATGGGAAGAAGCTGCAGTCTAGCTGAGTGAGAAGTGCTGCTGTAGCCAGCTGTGGCTGGGTGTAATCCTCATACGATCTTGTGGAACTGCTAATACTGAGACAAAGAGGGAGGTATTTATTGTTATGGTAATATCTAAAAAAATCAGCCAAGAATTAGGAAAGGATAAGCAAAATGGAAAGCGATCTTGAAAAGAAAGCTTTTATGAGAGAGAAGTGGAGGAGACAAAGCAGAAGAGAAAATAGGTCTGGCATGAAGCTAAGGGCAAAGCAGGAGGGTTGGACAGGCAGCAGTTAGCACAGAGGAATGAGAGCAACAAGAGATTATCTGAATAGCCAAAAGTCCTTTGTTGGCTGCTCCTACCGGCAAGCATCTGATTGGCAGCTTCTACTAGTTTTCTCACAGGGAAAATTGTAGGTAAAGTATTATTTGTTCCCCAGCCTAAGGTAGGTGGGTGTCCTGGCATAGAAGACAGAGCGGAGCTGCCCAAAACTTGTGAATTCTGTTTTGTAGGTAATATCTAAACTTTCCAATTCCCAGAAAACTAAAAATTCTCAAAAATTCTGTTCCCAGCAACTCTAATATGTGATGCCCCTGCCATGTAATGCTCCTAGGAGCCCTGCGTTGTGCTGACCCTCTGTTTGGGTTAGGTTGGATCCCATGTCCTGTCGCTCTCCTGCAGCCTCTGCTGCTCAGTCCATCTCTGGCTCAGGCTTCAAAGCTCCAAGTCTCGTGCCCGCCGTCCCTCTGGGAGCTGTTTTTGTCCTGCAGCTGTTGCAGTCCCAGCTTAAGCCGGGTTTCTGAAGGATCCTGTCCTTGCAGGTTACCTCCAAGGTCCCCAGGCTCCTGGCCCTACAGGAATAAGCAGCGATAGGTGTTCTGGTTTTGGTGTCCATAGCCCAGAACCCTGAGATCTAGGCTAGAGCATGGTTTCTTGGGATGTTGAGGTGTGCTATGCTCTGCTATGTGAGAGGAAGCAAGTTCCCGTGGGAACTGGTGTTCCCTGTGTTTTTGGCTCTCAGTACTGTAATGGGATGGCTCTTGTACAGTAGACTGAGGAGTTCAGCTTTCAGGACATATGGCTGAACTGATTGCCAAGCACCTGGTAGAGTTTTCTCATGAATTCCTTGATTTTTTTTTTTTTTCTTTTTTTTCCCCAAAAGATCTAATGTCCTTCATCTTTCAATACGTAGTTTGGAAAGTTTCAAAGAATGCCTTAAAAGAACGCTCAAAGAAGGAAGAGGTCTTTGTACTCAAAGATAGTCTCTTCTTCCCAACTGGGTTGTTGTTTTGTCCTTCACCTCTCCCTTCTCTTCCTCCCAAAAAGGCAGTGAAACAAAGAGAAACTGTCAGGAATCAAAGACTACAGGGTTCATGTAGCTTTAGTTTGCACCTTTGAAGCCATTTCCTAAAGTTCAAATCTTAGAGTTGAGGGCCAACGGTGATGACAAAAAAAAAGTTTTATCATTTTTAAACAATTAAACAGCTCTAGGACTCTTTACGAAAGGAGGGCTAATCACCTGTCACAAATCTGTTCAATTAACATGTCAGTTTTTCATACACTGGATGTGATCAGTCATCCATGAAAATGAAATATGAGGAAAGGATTCATTCAGAGAATGCCAATCACCACTCAGCTAGAAATTTCACTCATTACTCAAGCCAGATTAGTTGAAAATGCAAGTCATCACAATGCGACAGCCGACAAGTGATTAAGATCTCAATCATTGCTCATTCCCATGTAGTTGTGTTTGTCAGAAGCTTTGGATGTCAGTTAATATTGCTCTTTCATCTCCATTAAAATGACACTTCCATGGTGTGATTGAATTCTAAAACAGTGCCCCAGTTTTAAGCCAGAAGTTAGAAAGAAAGGAAAGAAAAAATAATGTAAAATTACAGACAGAATTAAAGATGAGATAAGGCCCTTAATTTTTGCATAGTTAAGTATCTTGACAGAATGGCTGACTAAATCTACACACAAATCCCTAAGTTGGAGCAAAATGCTTGGAAATCATTTAATGGAAATGCGTACACTTACTTTTTTGGTTTTGGCACAGTTTTTTATTTTCAAAGATCTAAATGCTGTTGAGATTTACATACCTGCCTTTTGAATGCACATTTACCTTTTTACCTCTTTACTCTATTTTACTGAAAACTGGACTTAATCTGCAGAAGGGACACTTGGCTCTGGAAATATATTCCTCAGCCATTTTATGGGCACATTAGAAATTGGGCCAATGCTTGACTTCAGCCTTCTTTAAAACATTAATGCGCCATTGAGAGGTAATTCAGATTATTTTAAATCCTGTCAGTGCTTTCTGGTAAAGGAATGTGAACAGTTGATTAATAGGAGGGATTCAGGAAGCAATGTTCTGGGTGGGAGGAAGCCTGGATCTATGGGATCCAACCCCAGAATGCTACCGATGGAAAAACGATGGCAAAAAGGGCTTCCTGTCCAACTTTTTTCTTTCAGCATCTTTTGGCTAGCTCTTCATCCACGGATATTTTGTTCTGTTTTGTTCTATTTTTACTTTGGATGATTATTTCCTTTTTGTTGTTCCCTGTAACATTGTCAGACATTACATATGTTTGCATGTTCTCCATCTCTGGAAGACTTTCAAATCTACTTCTCACTCTTGACTTTATTTTTCAAACTTACCATCTAGTCAAAATGTCCTAACAGGTTTAAACTTTTTGTCGCCCAAGCTTCTTCTCTTGGCTCATTGATCCAACCCAGCAATATTGGATACCTGTTTTTATCTTGAAAAGCTTTGACTAAAGTGATATTCTCCCTGAATCTGTGGTTTCTGCTCCTTCTGTCACCAGACTTCCTTTCCCAAAGGATTTTATTGTATACACTTTGGGGTATATTGTTTATGACTGTTCATTTACTCTGAGAGAATAATGGGAGTTTTGTGAAAAAGGGAAAGATAGCAAGTCTGGTTAAACAAGAAAACTTATCTACTTCAAGAAGAATTAGTACTTAATAAAAAGAAACAAGAAGAAAGGATATTTCTGATGGTTCCTTGAGTGCCAGATCTGACAATGCTCAACATAAAACTAAAACCAAGTAATGTTAAACACTGGAAACTGCACTGACATGCTTCATTTTCTGTCATGTCGTAAGGAAGCTGAACGTGAATTTTGGCTCTCTTAACGTGTCAGACCAGCATAATATTTGTTACCTTTTGATGAAAGCAAAGCGTCTGATAGCATTACAGCTAAATAAATATTGAAGTTTCTGTTAAGACTTCTGAAAAAGTTTTTTTAGAAGTTACAGAATAGGATATAGGTAGTAAAACCACTATGTAAGGTAGATAATAACAATGGCGGACAGATCATAGCTTTCGTGGCCTGTGCCACGTGTGTCTATTAAAAGTGAAAATAAGGATTTTGTGAAAGATCTTTGAAGTTATTTTAAAGGGACTAGGTTTAAAAAGGCAACATACTTCTTTGTTCATATTCTGAGAAGCCTGATATTGAGGTTCTCAGTTAAAGTTGAGAAGACTTCTAATTCCTTTCATCACTTTTAAGTTTGCTGAACTTTTTACATTTTATATAAAAATTTCTCAGGTATGAGCATTGCCTGAAGTGAGATTTAAAAAAAAAAATAAATCTGAAAACAATTGGGGCTATCTGGAGTGTGGAAAAATATTCTATTGGAATAAAATTCTTGTAATCACTTATTGTGCAGCTGTTACAAGAAGCAGTGGGGGGAAAGGAAGGGGAGTGGAGGCAATTTGGCACGGAGCTGTCACCCTCTGAGAACCAGTAAAGTTTTCTTCAAATTGGCAAGTATCTGCTAAATGCCTTGGCAATCATTAGTTTTTGATTTGCCTTGGGAATTACGCATTGCAAATGTCATTGTGTAAACATGCATGTTCTGCACAGCTGTGCCTACCAGGGGATGCCATCCCGTGTCTGCGTCAACTGCCTGGGGAAATAAGAATGTGTACACTGGGTGGGAGAGAAGACTGGTCAGCTGCAGCGTTCCTGTATGTATGAAACTAGTGAGGCAGGGTTCAGCTTTGCGCATTCGTATACATCAGTGGTACAACTTCTGTGTGAAAATCAGGAAGGATGGCTTGCGTCTTGCATTAGGATTTGCTGTACGGTAATACAACTCTGCTGACACGAGAGGTCAGCACCAAGCTGTCGAACGTACAAACCAGCAGTAACGAGGCTGCGATCTCTCCACAGAAGCATATTTCATTACATCAGGTGAATCTGGGAAGGGGAATGTGCTTTAATAAATATAGTATATTAAATGTACCCTAGTAGTGCTGATTACGCTTGCTTAATACAGTTGAAAACACTTTTATCTGAGGCTGCTGCTTTCGCACGGCAGTGACATTCTGACTCCTGCTTGACTGGGTTGAAAGTTGTCTTGACTATCTGAGTTTAGTGGATTTTGTTTTCAAGTTTGGTAAATCCATAATAAACTCTTTTAAAGTTCTATTTCATAATTTGGGAAGCTCAATCTTTAAAGAAAATTGTGTTTGAAGTAACCTTTTCTGTTAATGAAAGAGTTTATTACGTGTAATTCTGAGGTTTCAGCTAGGGCAGTTGGACTGTAATATAATGCTGTGTTGTCTTGTTTTATTGCTGCTGTCTGTATCATATGGCTCTTTCGTATGCCTTGACCAATTTATCTTAAAACTGGCTAAACTCCTTGCTCCCACTCTTTCTGTTGGAACACTTGTCTAGATCCTCACTCTGTTGATGGCAACTTTTTAAAAATATCTTGAGTAACTGTATCTAGACACGTTTGCTCTTGTATCACCTTGCACAGCTCTTCTCCCTCCAACCCTCTCCAGTGTCTATTTAGAGTAAATTCATATCCTGGTTCATATCCAGAAATCTGTGAAGTTTAAATTACACCCTTTACCTCATTACCTGCAGGGTTGCTCCTCTGTAAGTACCTTCTTATGCCACGGTGTCAGGGGATATAGGGTGGCACTGATAGGACAAATATTTGTCTTCTGTCGGGAACAAGAGTCCCCTGTTTAATGCCTGTTTCCCATCCAGACTCCTCTCAGTCAGTGTCCCAGGAACTTCACAGGGGACACAGAAAGAATCAGCGCGTCAGGGTTAGGGTTTCTTCTGGCAGGGAAGCAGGTCTTGAGCTTCCTTGCGAACCACTAGTGGTGCCCGGGAAGCTGGTTATGCTTGAATTGTCTCGATCACAGCGTTTCGTTTGTCGAGATTCACGTAAATTTTCGTTGGACTGCTTTGTGTAGTTTGGCGCACTGTGATTCAGTTTGAAGCCTCACGTCTGAACGTAGTTAAAACCAAAATGTCAAATTTCTTCAGTAAAAATTACTGTTGCTGATGTCTACAGTGTGGACTATGGCTCAAGTTTGCTCACAGCTTGCTACAAGCTTGCATAACAGCAAACACTGTTTGCCAGAAATTCGTAACTGTCAATAAACTTGAGCTGTGTGTCAGGTCAACAAAATAATATTAAATACATTTAATAAAACTTCAGAGCAGGGGAAGTTTCTTTTCCTTTTTATCAGAGAGATTTTGCCATGTTGATACAGCACAGTACATGCAGTAGACGGCAGACTGTCCCAGTGAAGATGGTCTTCCGTGGCTTCAGAACTTTCTTCCCTTTCTCAGGCACTGTAATACAAGTTTTCCATTCGGAAATCCCTCTGAGAAAAGGCTAGAAGCTATCAAATCCTTCAGCGTGACACTTGAATTTGATATGCTTACGAAGAAAACGGTGGTTACTTGATGTATAACAAAAGATGGAGGACATCTTGCAGTTTAAGGCAGGTGTGTAAAGTAATCACGAAATGAAGCAGACTTCGAGGATTTAATTTGTTGTACAATACTGTCATTTCTTGTGAATGTGAACAGAGGCTGTGGAGGAGAGAGCTAGCTCAGAAAATAAACTGCATTCAGCAGTGCTGTTTGTGCTGAGTCTGTTCTACAGTGTCTTCTGCATCCCTCAAACCATGATAGCCTGTTGCCAGTAGTTCTCCTGGCCTAGCTTAACCAGGAGAAACTGGTTAAAAAGCTGATGCTTTTCATCCTTCAGGGAGGTGCAGGTGCCATGATCAAGGGAGGTTTGAGCCCTCACAGTTTTGATTTGCTCTAATATCCCTGCGTTGCCAGTATCCAGTTTTGTTTGGCATAGACTTGTAATTTGTTCTAGAATCTGAGAAACTGCGCAGTGGCTAGAGGTGAGGGATGAGCACAGCAGCTAAGGACTGAGTCCTAAGCAATGACCCCAGTATAGCCATTTCCAAACTGAAGTCTAAAACTTGGTAAATTCTGATACTTGGGTGTTAAATAAGAGAAAATGCTGTATAGCATGGGTATACAAGATATCACAGTCTACCTCTGTGGTATCAGACCTCTCTGCTTTAACTTTCCTGGGTACTAAGATGTTCCTAGTCTTTGGTGGCTCCGGTTTATTGTGCACAGCAGCAAGGCCTTTCCCATTTGCACAATTTGAACCACCTGGCTGAGACTTCCAGAAATAACTTTGATCTTTTTCACTTCATAGTGGCATAAGCACAAACTTTCCCAGCCTTGCGGGTGCTATAAATTAAAGACTTGCTTTTCAGAGCTGGAGGTAATAATAACTGAAGCAAACTCATGCACTGAAATTAGTTACTGTTTAGTTTGGATGGTACTGAAAAAATATGTAGATCCAAGCAGAAGAATAATGTGGCTCACAATAAATGCCTCAGTCTCTTTACAACCTGGAGGTGTCTTTTGGGTTAAAAAATTAAGCCAAAGTTAATTAAATTTAAAGAAAAGTAAGCTGAAAAATTAAATAAATCTGTTTGAGGTCATATGGTGGTTTCTTGAGAGCACAACTTCTTTCAGGCAGTTGCAAACTTACTGTATCCAATACCTAACAAATCAGATTTTTATTTTCTCTGTATTTTACACAACACGTTAGCCTAGTATTACACAACACATGAGCCTAGTATTTGAATTCTTGTTTTCTAAAGTAGGGTATTCAAGTGTTTTCTCTAGGCCCATTTATCATTACTCCTTTCTAAACGCAGGTCATGCTCAACATTTTAAACTCGTAAAACGTGGGTTGTTGCTAGCAAACCCACACTAGCTTGGTTGCATGTATCTATTATGCAGGCTGTATGTTGTTTTCCATGTTCAAAGCCTATGCCTTTCGGCTTTCAGTGAAAAGCTTGGCCACTTTAAACTCTGACTTGCTGAGATCTTTTCTTCGTTGTTTGGAGGAGAACATTCAGGTTTGCCTTTTGATCTTCTGGTTTAGATCAGCAAGCTCATATCAAACTCACTGAAGTTGGTGATGAACTGGCATGGGTCTTGTTATCGCAGAAGAGTTGTGCTTAACCTTGTTTTTAGACCCATGCTTCATGTGCCTTCAGTAATGAGTACAGAATATAATTTAATAAGATTAAAATGAAGGTTCATTGAATTCAAAATTAAACCTCTGCCATACAAACAGAAGAATACATAACAAGCACTCCAAGGAAGCTCTCCTGTTTATGACCCATGCTTCATGTGCCTTCAGTAATGAGAATATAATTTAATAAGATTAAAATGAAGGTTCATTGAATTCAAAATTAAACCTCTGCCAAACAAACAGAAGAATACATAACAAGCACTCCAAGGAAGCTCTCCTGTTTATCAGAGCAGAATGTAGCTAGTGTGTGGGGATTTAAGTACATAATTCCTATTGAATCCTAAATTCAGTAGGTAAGCTTTACATCTCCCTAAGCTGACCTTACCTGGTTTTGAAAATAGACATTTAAAAACTATCTTGGCCATATATGTTAGCTGTCACTTTCATGATAATTACATTATTTTGTTCTGTTGCTTTTTAGCTGCAACAATGGTGGAAGCTGGAAAAGACAAGAAAAACCCAGATGAATTTGCAGTGGCATTGGATGAAACTCTTGGAGACTTTGCATTTCCAGATGAGTTTGTCTTTGATGTATGGGGAGCAATAGGTGATGCTAAGCAGGGACGACTGGAATGAGAACTGTGCAATTTATCAATTCCTATTTGAAAATCCAAAATTATTTTTGAATACGTACATCAGAATTTTAATACTTTTATTAATATGAATCCAGGGTGCTCTGTGTAAGTATTCTTATCTGAAACTTCCTTTTGCAAAGGAAGGTTTCTAATGGAAATATGAAGATAAACCCAAAGTTCTGACAACGGCACATTTAAAACAAACATTTAATTTACATGTAGAAATCACTGTGAGGAGTGTGTCAAGGAGATATATTTATACAGACATTGTATGAAAATTAGGTATTTTTTATTGCACATACACTTCGATATCAATATTCTGAAAGTGTTAGACATATGCAACAAAGAGTTGGATTATTTTATCTCTTCCTTAGAAAGGTTTATAAACTTGCTGAAAAACTACCTAGCTACACACTGCAGTTCCCTGGTCTTCTGTTGTTCTTATGTATTCATGTACATCACAGTTTGGCCTGGATGTAGTCTTTTCCGTAAACAGAGCTGGGAAGAAGCTACCATGTTTCTGAAGAACCTGAGTTCAGGAAAAAATAAATGCCTCTGAAACATGAGAAATAAGATCTTTGAATAAAGAAGACTTGCTTTCATTTGAGTCATAAAACACACTGTCTGGGTATTACTGAGATGAGTAAGTATAATAGAAATGCTTAAACCAGGAAGCTGCTGCTTTATTCAGATGCTGTACTATTGCAGTAGGAACTGCATAGGAAGAAACAAATGTTAATTTTGATTACTATTCATATATTTGAATAATATCTGTGATCTGGCACTGGAGACTATAATGTATGACTAAGTGCTTAATTGATCTTTGCATATGCTGAATGATTTGCTGAGATCCTATGCAGTTCCCCTCTTGTCTGTTTTTTTTTCAACATGGCAACGTAGGAGAGACATTGAAGGTGTTCAAACCTGGAAGATACTATTGTAAAGCCACAAACAATTGCAGTTTGAATGCAAATGCGTGCCTAAACCCTGAAAAATACATTAAACTAATTTTAGATGTTAGGATTTACAATTATATTGCACAGAAGCATTTATTTTAACTGACAATATTTTACTAATAAATCTCAGATTATTAAAAATGAACTGTCTCTTTTAACACATCTGCTGTGCCTGCATTTATCCTCCTGTTCACTCTGTATTTAATGAAGAGCAATGCAGTAAGTTTTGGTTTTACTCATAACTAGATTCTTTATCAGTTTTTACTGTGCTTGGTTTTAATCAAGACAGATATTTGTTCATTTGTTTAGAAAAAGCTACTTTCAAGTGATTATTATAGCCAAATAACACGCCATGAGTGTCCTTGAAAATGAAATTGAACAAGAATGTGGGGCCTGACCTGGGAAGGTGTCATAGCTTTTTAGTATTTTTATATTTGCGTAAGCATATAAAATAATAGGTATTATAAAAGTTTTTTCTAAATCACTACCTAGTTACTTTTCTTCTGAGGAAAATGTCTTTCACTGTCTTGCAGAGATCTCTTTAAAATAAAGACTATGCTAATAATTTTACACATTCTATGTCAGTGATTTTTTTTTTTTGTCTAAACCCATGACACTTTGAAGTATCATTGAGAGAACAGGTCCTCATTCTCTTTACTATGTTATTTAGGAAGACTTCTAAACTCCATTTCAGTCTTTTGCAGTAAGTGAATATTTTTTCTAGTTATGAAATATTGCATGAAGTCTTATAAATACGGTTCAGTGGTCTTTCAATGGGGATCATCTCCAATTTTATAAATGCTGTTGTGAGTATTTTGCTCTTGTACGTGTGATTTAAGGACAAGCTTTCACATAATGTAGATACTCCCTTTTATGAAGTGAGTAGTGCAGAGCAGTATGGAGGTCATATATTTTATTGTATTTAAGAAGTTCAAAGGTGTCAAAATTTCTCTTAATTGTACTAGTACCTCATATCACCAGTGTGGGATGAAATTGATATGTATCTTCAAACAGGTGTGATCATTATCAATTTCTATATGTAGAAACACATATAGATACAAAAATTTAGGCTATTCTCAACTTACGAGAGGTAAAAATATATAATTTTACAAGAAAATTTGAATTGTAGTAAAACTTGAAAATAAAATTAAAGAAACTTTGTAAGGAGGTTGTTAAATTTTATACATCCCATAGCTCAACTGGGGCCATGAGGATGTATTATTTTGAGAAAGGAGTGTAATTTTAGGACAGAGAGCGCAAGGTGGATAGCATTTCTCTGTATTTAATAATTGTAAGTCTGAGCCCACAATCTTCCATTGCAGTTGAGCATGCTCTCTGTCTTGCACAGGGCTACTTTAACTGAAGTATTGTGGGCCATATCATTGATTCTTTAAACTTCTTTTAAGTGAAAAGGAAAAATGAAATGTCAAGAATTCCCTGTCGGTTTTAAATTGTTTTATATAAAACTCAAATGTCAAATTTTATGGAAATATTTATGTACACTAATGTTAGTAACCAACATGCCACTGATTATAAAATCAATTAAAGTTAAGAATTCCTTCTTAAACAGCAAAAAAAAAAAAGTACTACGGAAGAGTCGTATTATAAAATAATACGTACCTGTTACCTGTAGCAGATAACTCCTCATGTGTTTTCGCTGTTCATTTTATTTTGAGAAATTAATGTTGTTCAATCAATTTATCCTCAGAGGATAATTTGTCTTATTACACTGATAAAGTAGCGAGATAAAAATAATCTCTGAAGCTCTAATTCTGCACAGAGCTGTCTCTTGTCATAGTGGCCTCTCTTTGTGGAGTTTATTTCAGAACTGAGATATAAATAGTGATTGCAATTACTAGCATTTACTGCAATAAAGTATGTCGATATATCTTAGTAATTTCTCTGAGTTCTCATGTACGCATACACTATTTCCAGCACATAAGATGTAATGGTACCACTACCCAATTTAGCAGATTATTTGCATTTTCCAGCTACGCGTGAATAAGTTGTCACATGAAAATCACACTATCTTGTAAAGTATGATAAATACTTCTTGCTCTTTGTAATGATTTGTGTAGTAAATAATGTTGTTTTTACTAATGAAATGCAGCCTGGAGATGCCTTTAAAACCTAATCAATAATGACACTAAAGCCTTTGCGTGCTTTGTAGCGTGAAAATGTCATTAAATGTCATTACAACAATCTCCCAAATTGATTTGAAGTACTAGTTCTAGTTAATGTAAGTGCTGATCAGAGTAGGACTATAAACATCTTGTTACTGTGTGTTGCAGGTGGAGGTGAATGTTGGTGAATAGTCCTCTCAAAATCAGAGGTGGAATGAGACAAGGTAGTAACTCAGCCTGAATGCTATACTAAAAGTAACTGATTCCTTATTCTTATAATTTGGTGCACAGTTTGCAGGGAACTGGCAGGTAAATGCAATTCTTTGTGCCTTTGCTTCGAGACTTACTGCTATATTCAAGACGACGAAAATACACCACTATTTTTCTCTGTAAGCAATAGTCTTTAGATGCAGCAAGAGGATTTAATGAAATCTGGTGTTCATAAAGTTCTGAGCTCATAATCTTAAAAATGTGATGATCGATGCATATTTCACACTTTTAAAGGAACTAATTTTGCAAATTACAGATATATCTTTTGTGACACCTTTAGTATGCCAGATGTTGCTTCAGTTAAATTTGATTTTATGCAACCCTCTTCATAATACAATTGTTATTCAAAGAACTATTAATATAATCAGTGTATTTGGGAGAAATCTTGTCTCCTATTCAGATATGCACCTTGATTTGCATAATGCATATATTGTTATTTTCTGCATATAATTTTCATCACAATTTGCCTATTTCCTTTTTTTTTTTTGAGATAAATGTAATATAAAGCTTTGAAAATCTTGTTCTTTGTATTTGATAGTGAAATATTAATCTTAAGTTAAATTATAATATTTTGTTAAGAAAAAGCTATCAGGGAAGATGTGAAGCAGGGTATAAAGTTTTTAAAATGCAGTCTGTGATGACAAAAAAGCAAATGTAGATTTTTTTTCTGCTTTTTAATGTGAACTTCTGCTACTTTTCAAATTGCATATTGTTTTTCATTAAAACAGCTCTGAGAATTTGTATTCCAAAGTCTGAATATTGTAGTAAAATGATACATTACTCTTAGTTTTCTTTCTGCCAGGAGATACTTCAGAACAATTAGAAGTCAGGGTGTTGACTATCTGTCCTTTTGAAATCAAATGCATATTTGCCATGAACTTCAGAACTCAACTCTAGCAATAAATCTAAAATTTATATTCAGTATTGTTTTCTTTTCCAATCTCTGACTCCCTATGTTTGAAAGGCATTTTGCTTTTAGATGTTATACTTTGAAAGATCTGTGATTTAGTTTATAAAAATATGAACAAATTTACAGGCTTGGAAGTCAAAGATAGGGGAAATCCTCAGCATTTCTTGAAGATACTTGTAAATAGTAACAGTCTTTGATTAAAAAATGTGCAGCCTGCAAGTACAGACTTTGTCCTCAGAAAAAGTATATTCAATGTGTGAGATTCAGGGAATGACAACTAAAAAGAAGAAAAAGACTGAGACAGCATAAATGTAAAGAAAATATCTCTTTTTTTATTGAAACGTGTGCACTGGCTTTAAATAGAACAACACATGGTCTGTAGATTGAACGGAAGCAACCTCCTGATGTGTTTAGGCTGCCTTATCTCTCAACTCTTGTTGCTTGTAAAGAAAGAGGTTGTGAACAGCTTTTTCAGTTCTCTTTAAATGATGGCAGTCCTTATCTAAATCTCTATTGCTGTGTCAGAGCTCTTTCAGAAAAATGTAGCTGTTGGTTTTGTAGCTGAATCATTAGTCTGTAGAGTTCTCCCAGTTCCCTGAGAACTAATGCAGATTTTCAAGTTGTCATAAACTTAATTTTACTACACAGTATTTGAAAGAGGAAAAAATCAGGGAGAAATAAATGTCTACTTTTCTTTGAAATTAAAGGGTATCTAGCAATTCCATTTTTTAGAGTCATTACTGCAGTACTGCTGCAGTGACCTGTGTGTAGGATGCTGAAGAGTAACAGAGAAGATGATATCTGGTAGAATCTTTTGACTGAAAATCATGCCA